TATTCCACTATTTGATGTAGCGACCTATCACATAGGGCAAAGGACTTCAATATCATATCTACTCTCAACCACAAATTTCAATTTACAGGTTTAAATATCTTATTATTATATCATTCTACATAAATAAAAATGTTATATCTTAATGGGTCATTCTACATAAATAAAATGTTATATCGAACATGACACGAGTATTACGATACAATCAAATCAGCTGAGTATTCCAGTTACCTTGTACAATTATTAACTTTGAAACATAATTTATTAGAAAATGTTTTTCAAAATCTTGAAATATTCCAAATGTGCTTCACAAAGACGATATACATTAAAATTGAATTGAATGATGACAAAATATTAATATTTTCGTTTTGAAATATGATTTGACCTTATATAGGCCTTGTCCTTTATAATATCGACAAAGAATAGTAAAAGCTAGCAGCTTTTACGGGAAAAAACATATATTATCACAAAAAGAGCATGACACCGTTCGAAATTAAGTAAAAGATGATTTTTTCCAATTTATATGCATATACGTATTTACCTTTGCAGCTATGGATTGAAATAATACCCACACTTCAAAATATGACAGAAACATAAAGGAGTATTCAGCATGTGAAGAATCTAAATTAGTGCTGTGCGGAACTAAATTCAGGTTAAGTGTGAATCGATGCTAAACGTACTTTTGTCCTAGTTTCCCCAGAGCCCCACACACTATACATCCTATTCACAATGACATTTCCTACAGGGTAGTGTGTGTGGATTCTTTTAGTTTCATAATTCCGTACAGTGAATATTTCAATTGAACTCAGGTAAACAAATGCGAATGAAATAGCTAGAATAGAAATTGTTTACATATTTTTTGGTGTGATGCTCATAACAAATAATTAAATATTATAATTGCGTCAGAATGGCCTACACAAGTTTAAATAAGGAGCAAAGATATCAGTTAATAGAATTGGTTAAGGAGAGGCCGGTGTTATATGACAAACGACATCGGTTATATAGGAGTGTTAAGGAAAAGGAATACCGGTGGAAGGAAATTGCAAAAATATGTAACAAGTCTGGTAATATACCAATGATATTCCATAAAATATACATTCTAATTCCATTATGTTTTACAGAATTAGCTTGCAAGAAAACATGGAAAACATTACGAGACCAATATCACCGATTTATGAGAATGCCAAAAGAAAAACGAAGAAAATATAGATACTTGAACGAGTTATCTTTTTTGGGCAGTGGTCATACGTAAGTCTCCACATATTTATTATTTTATATATGAATAGGTATATTATTTTTGAATATTTTAAGGAAATTTTCGACACAGTCCAGGCCCAACCTGATGGATGAATTTACCGATTTAAGTGACGACAGTGAAGAGGTTGATCCAAGCAAATCGATCGATGACATGAATTTCAGTCGATCAAGATTGAACAAAACGGAAAACTATTTCGAACAAGACGAAAACACATTGATGTCACAATTTTCAGAAATCGATGAATATATCTATACTAAAAATTCCAAAATTGATGATACAAATGCTGCATACAAGTTGCTCCATAATTTTAGCGATCTTCTGAACAAACGCTATGACCTTGAAGAAGACGAAAATGATATATTTTTCCGAATGCTTTCAAAGAAGTTGAAAGATCTTCCATGGGAAATTCAACAACGTCTGCAGGAAAGTTTTCTTGAACAGATCAATCAGGAAACATATAGTTTACAGAAGTGATGAGAAAAATATGTCAGCAAGTAAGTTTAAAATTAAAGAAATGCCAACATTTGTGTAAATATAAATATTTTTATTATTAAATTCGTGGCTTAAATGTAGCTACACACGCCATCTGTTTTATGCCACTTATTTGAATTCTTCATTATTCTTAAAAAATTGGGTTTAGCCCATGGTATAAGCTTTAGTCCTTTAATTTCAGTTTTTTTTCACTAAACCACTTAGCGTAGTTTTTGGCGAGTAGTCGAAAACGTCAAAAACGATTAAATTCTTTTAACAATTATTATGATAATTATTTTCAATCATTTATTCGGTTCCCTTTTCAAGTAGATTTGCATTACTATTTAAGAAATATAGACAACTTGTTGTGTCTTTTATGTCTGACCGAACAAGTCTCTACGTGAATAATCAATATATCCTACCATGCCCCTACATCCATTTAGATTGCAATGAAAAAACTTTAGTTTGTCAATGTATTTATATATTAATTTTGGAAAATCCTAGGTCTGGTAATAATTCATAAACATATAGCCAAGAAAAGATCACCATTTGACTTTAAATACATAATGATCTCAATAAAATACGTCTAAATTAACTTGATAAACTACTAACATTACATATATTATACATTTATTTTTTATTCTTTTGTATCTCGTAACTCATTATTTCGTAATTTACTTGTTCCAAAAAAGACTCTTGTAAGCGATTTCTTACCAATTTCGGCAACGTCTTCATTTTTTTCGCCAGCATTTTCATAAATATATCATTGTCGTCCTCATTAGGTTGGTATCGTTTATTTATCAAACTATTAAACGTTTCAAAGAGGTTACTCGCCATATTTTCAATGTTACAATCTGCATCATCTTTGGTCTCCTTAATATAAATATATTCTTCTTCTTGTGGCGATAAAGGAGCAGATAATTTATCGTCAATTTTTTCAATATTGTTGGTAGTAATTTTCGCCTCCAGATCATCTAGCTTGGACATATTTTCTGCTGGTTCTATAGTAGTCGTTTCATTATAGTCTCCGTAATCAGTACTATCATCGTATTCCATTTCATGTTTAGGTATATCTGATGTGTTGTCATAATAATACTCGGCAGCAATGTCCTCTACAGATATAGATGACGAAGTTCTAAAAGCCCTGCAAGTAGATAAGGTTCCCATGAAACTGTATCATAATTAGATGTTATCATATTAAATAAAATATACTTCGTTTTTCCATTTAGAAAAGACATTTTGGATAAGTAACGAAAGTTTTTTCGTTTTTCTTTCGGTAGCTTCATGTTTCGTTGATACTGATCTCTCATAGATTTCCATGCAACTTTACAAGCATTAACTAAATTTGAAATAAAATTGAATATAAAGGTTATTGTAAATAATCCTTGTAGATAGATTGTAAAGAACAAATACCTTGAGCACGAACCCTTCTGGCCACATCCTGCCATGCCATTTCCTTTTCTGTAACATTCTTGTATCCCTCATGTTCCTTATCGTACAAAATAGGTCTTTCCTGTATTAGTTGCAACAGTAGGAACCGTTGGTCTTCCGTAAGACTATCGTACGTCATGATTTTGAAATAGCTATTCCTAGTAAGTCCAAATATCAGAACTATTCAGGAGCGATAATGCGCTGTCGTATTTACGTTTTACGTTGAATGTGTCTTACGAACTTCTTTGATGGGCGTAATAGATTTAGAAAACCAAAGTGCACATAACGCAAAGCAATATTCTGAACCTGCTAGCAATTCAAAATCGTCTTAATTATTTATTTTTATAAATTTAAATTTCAATTGTAATTACTTTAAGAAAATGATGAAATACGATGCGTTGTTATTTATTATTTTTTGACGATTTTGTATAAAATGCGTACAAACAACAAAGTACAGCTAATATTTTGTTAACGCCTTCAAAAGTATTTAAAGTGGCGGCATAGAAATCTTTATGAAATGGTATTTACACCTTGTGGTTGTTGTATTTTCGATAACATATAACGCGACGGATGACTCAACGCGAGCATTCTGCTTAGCCCTTAACGCATGAAGTTGATGTGCGCTGTGCTTTGAAGTTAAATATATTTTAACTTTTTGCGTGCGTTAACGCGATAACAAAAAACGCTCAACGCGAACATTCTGTTTAGCCCTTTATTGGCAACGGGAAATCGCGACGGCTGACGTTCGCGTCTAGCGGCATGACGCTAGAATATATTTTATTCATTTTTGCTCAGCGTCATACTCAAAATTTCTCTCTTGCTCTCAATAGAGTTGCCATATTTTAGGTAAAAATCAACAGTGCTACCAAATTTCAATGAGAATTTATATCAAAACATATGGCAGTACTGTTAAAAAAACAAATATTTTCAAAGATTGTGGATGTTTTTTAATGAATTATTAATAAAATGGAAGAAAAATATTTTTTTCAATAATTTTATCCAAATTCCTTGACATTATTGTTTATTAAATAATAAATTGATTTTGGTTTGCACAACGTACAATTTTCTGTCAGAAAATGAAAACAAATAATTGACATTTTGTGCCGCTAACGCTAACTCTTTCGTTTGGTTTTCACGCCGGCGAAAAAGTATGACGCTGACTCGTGACTCTCTGGTTGCGTTTAGACTCTGGCGCCAGAATAGATTTTATTCATTTTTGCTCAGCGTCATACTCAAAATTTCTCTCTTGCTCTCAATTGAGTTGCCATATTTTAGGTAAAAATCAACAGTGCTACCAAATTTCAATGAGAATTTTTATCAAAACATATGGCAATGCTGTTAAAAAAAAACATATTTTCACAGATTGTGGACGTTTTTTTAACAAATTAATAAAATGGAAGAAAAATAAGTTTTTCAATAATTTTATTCAAGTTTCTTCACATTATGGTTTATTAAATAATAAATTGATTTTGGTTTGCACAACATAAAATTTTCTGTCAGAAAATCAAAACAAATAATTGGCATTTCGTGCCGCTAACTCTCGTTTGGTTTTCACGTCGGCGAAAAAGTATGACGCTGACTCGTGACTCTCTGGTTGCGTTTAGGCTCTTGGTCGAAAGCCGATGTACATAACTCTATTTCATTTCATCATTCATTCACGCTTATTCGTAAACACGGCGGTTGTTTTCCATTTTCTTTTCGATCTGATCTTTATCGGTCATTCTCTCCTATTCGCAGCGTTCTAAACGTTTTTTGATTAGGTCGGTCATTTAGTTTTTATTTAACACGTGCGTTGTGTTGGACGTTAGTTTCTACAAGAAAAACTTGTCGTATTCCGTAAATAATGGGTAAAAAATTCCAAAAGAAAAAGAAAACCGAACAATTGGAGATTGTTCCAATGGATGAAAATCCCCCATTGCCTCCACAAAGACCTTCTGATGAGGTTATTCCAAAAAGGGTATGTGTGTTTTAATGTTTGTAATGGCTGGTGTGTGATTTGTAATTGTTGTGTTTTTCTATTTAGGAAAAATGGATAAATAAACAAAGAGTATTAGTATTTGCTGCTCGTGGTATAAGCCACCGCGATAGACATCTAATGAAAGACATAAAAACTCTTATGCCCCATCATAGGCCCGAGTCGAAAATGGAGAGGACAAAAACTTTGGCCACTGTCAACGATATGTGCGAAATGAAGCACTGCAACAAATCCATATTATTCGAAGGACGCCGGAAACGTGATCTTTACATGTGGGTCTCAAATATACCCAATGGACCTTCGGCAAAATTCTTGGTAGAGAATATTCATACTATGGCTGAACTAAAAATGACCGGCAATTGTCTCAGAGGCTCTAGGCCACTGTTATCGTTCGATTCGAAATTTGATGAAGTGCCTCATTTGAAACTGTTAAAGGAACTATTTACACAAATTTTTGGTGTTCCTAATCATCATCCAAAAAGTCAACCATTTATTGATCATGTCTACAGTTTTACCTATCTAGATAATAGGATATGGTTTAGGAACTTCCAGATCCTTTCCGAAGATGGTGGTTTAGCAGAAATCGGACCACGTTTTGTCATGAATCCTGTAAAAATTTTTGAAGGTTCCTTCACAGGCGGTGCATTGTGGGAAAATCCGGATTACGTTAGTCCAGCAAAACAACGGCAAATGTTGAAGAAGGCAGCCAAAGAACGTTACGTCAATCGTATAGAACAGAAAGTGCACCATGAGGCTACGTTGCCCACTAAAGCATATGAAGGCATTGAGTACGACGATATTTTCGAGGACAGAGACGCTTTCGAGACGGCAAAGGTCTTAGCCGAACAAGCTAAAAAGAAGGCACTTCAAGTACAAGAAAAGGCAACGAAAAGTCCAAAGGATAAATTGACCAAGAAAATAAAGGAAAAACAATTGGAAGCCGTTAAACAAGTTATAGAAAAGAAGAAGCAAAAGGCGAATAAAGTGGGAAAACAAAAAGCATAGGTTTACAATAAAATTATATTCTTATTTTCAATATATGTATCAATCAATATAGAGTAAGAAAACAGAAGCTAATTTGTATTATTTCGCCTTTTAATTAATTTACATATTTGAGACAGGATCATTGCATACTAAATTCATTGAAGTACTATCAAGAAATAAGCAATTGAATGAAAACTTTAACTAAACCGTTGCTAGTATTTGCGCAAAACTTAACTTGATTATTAACGAACATGTAAATTGCAAAAGAAGCCGAGATAGATATATTGCATTAAATGACGTTCGTTTTATCAAAGTTTGGCATACGTCTATCATAATCAGAGCTCCGAAATGCTCGCTCGAATTCGAGTAAAGAGTGAAACTCGCTCGAATTCGAGCGGGAGTACTACTGCGAGTAATTTGAGTATACTCCATTTTTCTCTGCCACTCAAATAAGAGCGCAAGTGCTTCGCTCGTTTTCGAGTGGGAGTGAAATACGCTCGAAATCGAGCAGATTACACTCTTGCCGAGTACTCTTTTATTTTTATTTGTTTTTGTTGTGATACCGATGTTTTACTTGATGTTGTTTGTGTGCATTGTTTGTTTTGTGATGTTTGGTTTGCTGTACTGCTGGGAAAGCATGCATCAACAAGCTCGTTCTCTGGGTTCACTTTATGTAAGTCTGAAATAGTGACAGCAAGACGAACCAGCCTCCAAAATTAAACCCTCGACAATATTTTGATACTAAAATTAAATAATGAACCACTTATGCATTCATGGGGTTTCTTTCAAACCAGCGCTTTTAATATTTTTAAAGAATACTTTTCTACATTTTTTAATGAATACCATTTTCAATATTTGTATGGAGGTGTTTATGCCTTTAAAAAAATATTGAAGTAAATAAACCACACGGTTAAATTCCTTTTATAAATATAAAATTAAAAAAAAAACATATAAAAATCGTATATGGTATAAGATTTTTATTTGTACCTCACATGTGTAAACATTTTCAATAAACAAAATAATCAATGTCCTTTTTTTTGTTTTTTGTACATGATCTATCTCCCCACAGCACACAAAAGATCAACATCAAAAAATGTTTGCTACTACACACACACAAATAACCAAACTACCACATTTATTTGTCCACTCGATTTCACTCTTAGAGTGAACTCTTACTCTATTTCGAACATTTTGACTCACACCCGTTTTCTTCAACAAGGAGTACTCGCGAGCACTCCCAAACAAAATAAAAGAGTGGAGAGTATACTCCCTAAAAAACTCGTACTCTTTACTTACTCCCACTCGAGAGTATTTTTCACTCGCGAGTAAAATCGAGCAAATCGGAGCTCTGATCATAATAGATCGGTACAAATTAGACTAGCCGTTCATATATTAAGTAGCCATATGATGCTGTGTTTGGAATCGCTCTTGGCCTCTTGAGCTGGATTCTCGTATACGAACAAAAACTGAATTAAAGGAAGCAAATACACATTACTTTATCTACTGATTTATAGAATACAATTGGTTCCATTTAATTACAGAAAATAGTTGTTTGTTGTCATATGTCTTCAATTTCGAAATAATATTTTATATATAATATTTAACATCAGAAATGTTTGCCCATTTCTTCCGAATGATTTACAGGCAATGAGGCAATTCACTTTTTATCTCGGTGATATTTTTTGTTCCGGTGTAGTAGTACTTGAATGTTCATGTCTTTTTATATTTTTATATATATATGCTAACACGCTGTCCAATATTTTAAGTATTTCTTTTCGAACCTCCAAATCCGGAAAAGCCCATAATGGCTGCCATATTATCATCAGTCAAAGCAATACCATCTAAATCTTCCTCAGCTTTACGTTTACGTTCTTTTCGCTTTTCTTTGCGATGCTCTTTATAACGTTCCTCCTCTTCTTTTGCTTCCCTAAGGCGTTTCTCAAGCTCATAGTCTTTTTGTTTCTCTTCCATTTTCTTTTTGTTTGCCTGGAATCTTTCTTTAACCTGATCCACTGTACTACGTTCCACTTTCATGGACATTCCCAGATTTCGCTGATGTTTTTTGCCATTGATGTGGTCCAGGAAATTTATGGAATCTTTCACCACGCAGTCGCATACATTGCAATAGTATCCACCAGACTGGGAATTAGGTGTGTTTTTATTGATAACAACACTTTTTCCCAGTTTGCTGTCCAAGTCTACCTTATAGTCTCTGCGCTTGAGATTTTCTCTTTGTACGGGCTCTGTAAAATCATTAATATAATACGATTAAAATTATTTTTAACAAATGGATGATTCTTTCGTCTCATATGACCACTATACCTTCTTCATTTCTATCATTGGCTTGGTTTTGCAATCTTTCCTGAGCTTTTCTTTGGAATTCTGCTTTATCCCATTTTCTGCGATGATCATCTGGACGCATCGACATTTTAATTAATTTAATTAATAATCAAAACTATTTCTAATGTAAAAATAAAACTTTTTAACACAAGTCTCTGCAGAAAAGAAATATTGAAAATGTTCCACCTTTACGAATGGGATGGGATAACACAAAATGCACAAAATGCCCTGTAATAAAGAAGAAGTCTAAAAAGAAGACGGAAAGTTACGAATGAGGTGGGATGGAGACTAAAAAGGAGTTGGATTGTTTACGAATGAGGTTTAAGGAAAGGATGAGAGTAGCAAGGGTAGCTCACATTCAGAGGTTGCTAATTACAACCCTGTAAACCTGAGGTGAAAGCAAATGAGCCGAGGACTAACCAGGCGAATGAAAGTTGAAAGCAAACGAGACGAGGACCAACCGTGGCGAATGAGAATCAAAACAAACGAGAGGAGGACCAACCAACAGCTGATCACAATTTGAACACATTTGATCAGCTGTTTGTGGTCCGGAACGAACTAGTTTGTTGTTCACTATAGCATTAGCATTGTTCTATGAACTATAAAATAAGAGAATTCAAGTTCTCGTTCACATCGTCCTGGATTTAACTAAAAGGATTAATTAAATAGTATAATAAGTAAGCGTGAAATTGGAAAAGTTTGCCACTTGTTCAGAAGGGGAACATACTTAGATTACATAAAATCACACATATAGATATTTTTAATATATTAAAATTATTAAATTAATCCAACCAATTTCCAAAATTAATACTTCCGGGGATTTGATGTGGTTGTCATTATCGGGGCACCATATTGCATTGATGAGATATGCCGGCGAAGTTTGAAACAACTGCTGTTATGATTTTTTATTCCCCAGGGAAGCGGTAAAGCGGTGTACACACTATCATTTTTGACTGTCAACTTTTTTTATCGATTACTGACTGTCCAACAACCATAAATATTTTTGTGGTTGCCTGATGAATGACAAACATGTGAGGCCACACTATCAAACAAGCAAAATTTGGGCAAGAGTGCCATTCAAAAATGTTAGTGTGTATACCGCATATAGGGCTAAGAAGAATACTCGCGTTGAGCCATCCGCCACGTTATAAAACAAACATATACATATAAGTAAATCGACTTTCGACTAATCGATCGAAGTCTAAAAGTCGAAGTTGACTTTTGATCTATGAGAAAATCGTAAAGTCGACTTTTCAAGATCGACAAAGCTCAAATTGCCCAAAAATTGCACTTTTCTAAACTTTACATTATCTGTTAAGAATAATTCATATAAAAATCAAATTTTTATCGATTTCGCAGAATTCAGTAAAAGTTGAAAATCGATTTTGAACAGTTTTTACAGACTCTAAAGATCGAAAAGTCGACTTTTTAGTCAAAGGCAATAATCGAAAAGTCGAAAAATCGACTTTGTGGTCAGAGACAAAAATCGAAAAGTCAAAAAGTCGACGTTTACTCTCGACTACGTTCAATGCGTTACGCGTTCAATGCGTCTGTAACAGCTGTAACAGAAGGCGTTGGGCAACACTGAGTGGGTGGTTGCAGCTAACTTCACACTAAGTGAAGTTAGCTGCATTACCAAGTTTTCGAATTTCCGTCATAATTCGCATAATTCGCCATTGTCCCCCATTTTGGATTTATATGTTTTATATGTACAATCAAAGAACACTTGTTGAATCAAAGACGCTTTACAAACTTTTCAAACTTTTAAACTTTACAAATTTTTTAAAGAATCGCCAGAATCACACTAAAGGATTTCAGGTTTGTTAATTTGGTTATTAATTATTTATATTATTTACTATATATATTATAATATCGTGCCTCACATGTCTTTAACATTACGCGTTCAATGCGTCGTTAAACACTTGCAGAAAGGAAAATTACATTTTATATGAGATTTATATAAGACCGACCAATTAATAATCTTCAAAACAGTCTAAGGACTTGTGCGTATACGTCAAAATCGTGACATATATATTTTTGTCATCATTGATGGACACCTGGGTCATGCCATAGTCGTAATTCGCGTAATTCGAGCGCAATCAATTCGACCAGCAAAACGCTTGGAAGAGACCCACATTTTGATACAGCATAATTCCATCCAGGTCTGTGTATTGTTGTAATCGGTATAACAATCTAAATCAAATACCACTATAAAACATATTAAATTACATCATGGGTTATTATTAAGATATTATTTAAGATATTTTTTTATTTTATTATGCAATTTCGGCTGCTGGTGAAGACATTGTAAAAAATAAAGTCATAGTCATGTATGTTTTTTCATAGTCATAGGCAGATGTAATACCGCAACTTGTTCTAGTGACCATACATAGGGTAAGTGCTCCTAATGTCGGCATGTACCAGTACTCGGCATCCGCAGATTAAGGGGACCCCCCCATTCTCGGGGTCAAAATTTTTCTTGATATAATTCGAATCTACACTGATTAAAGAATGTCTCTACAAAATTTCAAGTGAAAAAGAACTCTTGAAGATACAGCCGATTTATTGTGTCAGCATCAAGTGACGGCTGAAGGGCTTCTCAAACTTTAAACTAATAATCCAATCGGTTCCAAATTTTGCAACGTTTCTCTGGGAGTGTATAGCTCTCGTATGAACTAGGATAAAGCCAATCGGTGAAGATCTTCCTTATTTTTTAACTTGGTTTTTGTAAAAAAATTGACGATTTTCCAAAAATATTTTTTCAAAGGTCCACCATTTTGTTAATTTTAGAGCGAGAGCCAGACATGTACTCTTTCTAACACCGTTGGAATTTTCGGATTCCGATATTCCAGTGAGGAGTTATCATGCCCGCCATCAAAAATAAGGACTTTTCTTTAATTCCAAAAAAACAACAACAAAACAATAACAAAATTTTTTTGTAAATTATTTTTCTTCTCTTTTAAATCTTCAATTATATATGTGCAAAGTTACAAACTTTAACAAGCATTGGTATTGATTTACCAGCCCATTGAAAATCTTGAAAAATTAAAATCGAGAATGGGGGGATTCCCTTAAGTCACTTGTAGGCCTTGGGGAATTTCCACCGGGAATAGAAAAACGAGAAAATACCGAGATTTTTTACGTCAAATACAGTTTAGGTAAATACAGTTTGTCCAAGGGAGCGTGTTCTAATCAAATATTGCAAATATAATTTGTATTTAACGATGCACCTATGTATGTAAACTTTAACTTTAAAAGTAAAAATTTCAATGTTCTGGTGAATGATCTTCGCTCACACTCACTTATGGATATTAAATTTTTCATTCCGTTTCATTCCACAAAGTATATACATTCTTAACCCTTTGTGGCCCAATGTTGCCCACAAGCAACAAAATGTTTTAGAGCTTATATTTTATATGCAGCTAACGTTAACCCAGTGGGTTTCAATTGTCAATTTCTTTGCATATATGTCAAATAAATCCTGATAAAGTAGGTTAACCCGGTAAAAAGTTCTAATGTATATAATGTATATGCCGTTTTATGGGCGAAACATATCAAAAGAAAAATCAAAAAAATTCAGTATAGAGAAGAGGGTGAATTAGTGTACAGTAATAATTTGTGTATATAGTCCAAGCAATTTGGCTGTAATTTGGTATAATGTCTTTATTTTTCAAGAATTGTTTGTATATAGTAAATACATATTTTTTACAATCAATTTATTAATTTTATTTTGAGTGCTGGGGTACTGTACTGTAAATAGTTTAACTGTAAAGTTTGTCGTTGAGGCTTCTTACGTGTTTCTCTTTTATATCTGCATTTCGACATACACATGTCCCCTCGATTTACAGGAATCGAATTGGATTTTATGATATTGAATTTCTTATAATGTTTAAATTTAATGATATTGATGTCGACTTACTTATAATATAGGACGATGTCTCATATTAGATCCTGTTGTGTCCCTGATTGTGAAAAATCGAAAGATGCTTCTAACTACAGCTTGGCCTTGCGTATTTTTACCAACTCCTCTGAAGCATTATGATCATAATTTAAATTATTTAGAGGACAAAAATGAATGTAAGTCGTCGTAAAATATGTAATTTGTCTTTTAAATGATCAATCAATATATGAACTGTTTGAAGACATCTGTACTAAATCTAAGCTTTCGAGCAGAACATTGAATTTCATTTTATAATTAAATGGTCTGTTCCCTTACTGCAAGAATATACTAGTTTTTACTATTTTTGTCGATATCATAAAGGAAAATTTGTTATCGTAGTAAAAGGTAGTAGATTCTTGCAGTACGGGAACAGACCTATAATATTTACTCACCGTATGTCGACGACGTTTCGACTGTGTCTCAAAAAAAAAAAAAAAAACGTTTTTGAGTCGATTTATGCATGTCCCTCCGTTTAGATATTTTAATAAACAAGATACAGATCACCTTATAATCCGAATGGGATGAAACTTTATTTGGCCCAAAGACGAGGGCTTTTGAAATTGGTCAAAATCGGTTTTGATATATATATACAGCTTACTAGATTTTGTAGAAATCGATTTAGATTTATATAGCTCCTATATATTTTTCGTTTCTATTGTTTCTAAAATATTTTCTTAACGTATTGAATAGAGTCTAAAATCATGTATCCCGACAGACCATTTTTTTAACTTTCATAAAAAATCTTTCAAACACTTCAGTCGTCAACTAAAATAACGACGAAGAAATCATCGAAATAGGGGTGATAAAATCAAATATATTTTTTTTTTGTAATATACTAAAAAGCACTACAGACAGTCGTATACAGTATCCCTATATTTTATTTTATATGTATATAATTAACCACTCCATTCCCTTACCAGTTTCTCCCTGCATTATTCGAACGCCGTTTCTATTTGCATTTAAAGTTATCGTTAAAAAAGAAGCGTATCTGATGTATTCCTGTTTCCCCCCTATTTACACATATTCCTTTAGTTGATGCCACAGTTGCCATTTGTAAACAAGATGGCACAGATACTGGCAATAATAACGTTCATGCAGATATTTCAAATGTAGATCATTTCACTGCGGAAGATGTGACATTAGATCCAATGT